TAAGATACTGTTAGCTATCCACCATAGTTGATGAGGGTCCAGGCAGTTTGACACCAGTAGGATCAGGCCCTTAACTGGTGCAGCACTACTGGCTGAGCCCAATTCTTAACCCCTCTTGCCTTATTTGGGGGTGGTATGTGAGAAAATATGCTACCACCAAGCACCATGCATTTGCCTGAAAGGTACTGGTGGTAATCTGAAATCATCATCTTCACATTCCTCCTTGAACTCGTGTAACGTTGTAGCAGTTTTTATAGTTGTAAAGTTTTCAGGGTTAAACCTTCAGTAGTTATCACATACACTCTAGTCACCGTTTAAAAGTTGAATATGTACATGGTAATATGTATATAGGATATGTATAGTGTACGTATTCACTGAAATGTTAAAAAATAGTGTGTAAAAAAATAAAAATAAAAAAATGAACATGACATCTTTTATTTGAGCCAGTGTGTGTATGGTGGGGGAAAGTGTAACTCTTCTCATTTTTTTTGCCATTTAGGCCCTTTAATTTGACACAAACAAATGTTAAAACTCTATGCCTCAGGCAGCATTGAAAATGTATGCAGTCTTTCTACTTTCAGTCAAATGTACAATAAGCTAACAAGTGTACAAAGTATACAAGTGTTTTGTAAAACATCTCTCCCTTCCTACCCAGATTTGACTCTGTTCATGTCTGTTTTCCCAATCCACAGACAGGGACATTCTCATGCTTGTGGAAGAGACAAACATCCCTGGATTTCACCACTACCCCCTGCATTAAATGTCCTTCCTGAACTAATCTGCAAGGCCACCTGCTTTTCTATGTTCAGATATCTCCTAAAGACTTGCTTCTGCTCTGATAACTTTAGAGAGTTAGTAGTCTGATAGTGACAAGGTTGTAGTAACTTTGAGGTAATTTCACTGTCAATATATATCTGTATTGTAAACAACACATTATTCATACTAAGACATTATCAATTATCACCTTCATTGTTTTATTTTCTATTGTTTCCCTCTTAGTCGAGACTTTTTCTGGCTGGATTGTTTGTTTATAAAGACTGTACGTTTTGGGGTAGGTGTCATACAGTTGTATGTGGAAAGTGCCCAGTGTATTGTGGATACTACAGGTAGTTATAAAGTGGGAACCTTCTGGCAATTACTCAGTGTTAGTTAGTCGCATCTATGCTTTGAGCTTGTTTCTTGATTGAATTGATTCATCAGCAGCCATGGCTGGCTTAAACCCTGGTATAAATCAATAGGGTGACATATGCATGCCTGGCCCAGAATCAGTCAGCCTGTTCAAAGACATCTATTGGATTGATGATGACCTGGACAAGTGTCCATTGGCTTATGGAGCAATTTCCTATTTCCTCCCTCAGCATTCTGGCTTTCCTTTCCTTGGTAGCAAGGGTTACTGGCTGAAGGAAAGAAGCCCAGTGGTGGTTGATTGTAGGGGTGCATTGATAAAGATATTCATGGTCGATACTGGTAGCCTATCATTAACCACCCATCCGATAACGGTTTTACAGGAATGGAACCCGGCAGCTTGGAGAGCAGTGTCCTGCTGGTAGGTCTGTGGGGTGGAAGGGGCGTTGGGGAGGGAAGGGATGTGAGGGGCAGATCGAGGCCCACATGGTGAGGGAGGGCGTGGGGCAGAGGCAGGTGCTGCCCAGCCAGGATAGTGAATGGGATCCCAGAGCTGGGAGTGGGATGTAGCTGTGGGCGGTTCGTCCAGAGGGCACAGGGTGGGGGTGGGTAGGGTGGGTGGCTCCCTACTGCTGCTGCTGCTGCTCACACTCCTGGGGGAGGGAAGAGGGGCATGTGCCCCGCCCCTGGATTTATGCGTGGGGCGGAGGTGGGCTGCCTGCTGTGGGTTTGGGGCCAGGGATACTGCCAGTCTCTTCCTGGTTGGGGTGCTGGGCTGGGGCTGGACTCAGAGTGGGTGGGAGCGGGTTGGGCCCTGCTGTATGGGGTGAAGGGGTGGCTACAGGGGGGCTAAGGTGAATTGTGGGGTGGCTATAGCCTCCCCAAACCCCAACTAATGCTACCCCTGTTCGCGGCACTCCACTCTGCTGCCTTTCCCTTGGAAGCCCCCTGCTGTGGGGAGGGCAGGGGGCGTGCAGCTGGTGTAGGGCTCCCGAGTGAAAGGTAGCAGAGTGGAGTGCCCTGTGCAGGGGTGGTGTTGCGGGGGAGGTTTGGGGAGCTGTGGCCACCTCAAAATTCACTTTAGCTTCCCTTTAGGCCCCTTTCCAAGGCTGCCACTGTCGCCCACCCCATGCAGCTGAACCCGCCCTACTCCAGGCCCAGCCCTCCACTGGGAAGAGGGCCATTCCTGGCCCTGAACTTGGAGCAGGCAGGCCGCCTCCACCCTGCACACAAATCCAGTGTGGGGGATGCAACAGTGGGGAGCTGCCTTAGCCCCCCCACCCTGCCGCACCCCTGGATACACCTGTGGCTCCGTGCTGCTCCCAGCTCTGGGGTCCCATTCATCGCCCCAGCTGGGCAGCGCCTACCCCTGCCCCACTCCCTCCCTCACTGGGGGGGGCCTCAATCTGCTCCCCAACCCCCACTCCCTTTCCCCCCACAGACTGACCGGAAGGACACTGCTCTTCAAGCTGCCTGGCTGCAATCTTGGCTGTGTGCATGGCAGCTGTGTGCATGCAAGTGGCATTTATCAGTGACATTATTGGCTATCTCAGGCAAAAAAACCCAATAGCTGATTATGTTAATTTTCCTTTTATCAGTGCTGATCCGATATGTGGTCGATATACTGGTGTGCCTCTAGTTGATTGTGCTACTGCGGGTGGCACTGGCAGCCAGTGCTATTCCTGGCATTGTGGAGCTGTCCAGCCCCGCCTCTCGGGCCTGAATAATTTGTCATGCCTGAATTATCCAGTGTAATTTCTAATAGTTGTGTGTGTGGTGTTTGTAAACCAAGGTAGTACGAGTACTTATGCATTATTCATTTATTTATTAAATAAATAAACATGAAAGATGACTTGCAAAAGAAGCCGATGCAGAAGCACCTGAAAAGCTTGTTGTTGTTTTTTTGTTTTGTTTTTTGTTATTTTTTTTAATGAGAAGTTCATTTTGTTTTTTTCAAGGGCTGAGGGGAGTTATAATCTCACTAGAGACTAAAAGAGGGAGGATTTTCAGTTATTTTGGACACTGAGTATTCAGCTTTTTATTTAAAACATCAACTCAGGTTCATTGATAAAAGCTTGAGAAGAGGCTCTTTTAAAAACAGAACAAAACAAAAACCAAAGAAGGTAACACTCTTGACCTTAAAGGTTTGCTGCTATTCTAAGGACTCCTCCAGTAAAAGCATAGAAATATTAAGTCTATATTTTTCTAATATATAAAAATCAGAGAAGCTTGAGTTAGAGAACTGTCTTTATTCCCTTTCAAATGTAAAAGAAGGCGAAGGGGCAAAAATATACCAGTCTGTATCTTTTTTGCCATGGGCAACATGTCAAGGGGCATCCTTTATTGAAACATCTCAACAGTTCTTAGGCCTTATCTACACTAGAGAATTTGAGCATGCTAAGTGACTGCATCTCTTGGGTGCATGTGCTAGTGCACCTAGTTGCTGTGGCATTTGAAAGACATGCCTCATACCACTTCTGTACTCCTGGCTGTGTGAGTCTAAGTGCACAACCCAGGCAGGTGTGTAATGGTAAGTTGCTAGTGCAGATGATGCATACTGAAGAACCAGCTGGAATTTGAGTTTTCCTACTATGGTCTCATAGCACAGTATTTGCTTTTTCGGGTGCTGTGTCCAGCGTGATTTTCCTACATTGCTCTCCAGCAGTATTTCACCTGCACAGACTGGATTATTCCCTTGGGCCTCTTCACTTGACTGGTGACTAGTGTTTGGTACCTGAAGCAGAGCTTTTTACATTCAACCTGGTCATTTTTGGGGTGGCAGGACTGAAATAGCTGCTGTTTTTGGGGATGTACCATAAAGCTTCTGGGAACCATGAGAAATTTCCAAGAGGTATTTTGCATGCACCCTTTTCCTAGACAGGCCTTGTGCAGACATGAGGATGCAAATGAAATAAGATTCCTAGCATAGCTGCTCGGTGTTGGTTTCAAGAGGCAATATTACCATCTTAGTTATACGATATTACTTATCAGTGTAGGTGAACCTAAATGCTTGCAAATTCTGTCTGTATTGTTCAGGTAACCTTGTTCTTCCGAAGTATCTATAGGCATGAAAATGCGAAGCTAGTGCCAGCCACATGCTTCTTCATTGTCCATTTTAAACAGCCGCCTCCTGTTTGGAATTTCATTGCCTCGGTTAAAAGGATGCATCACCCTTCACTAATTCAGTGTAGCTCTGAGTGAGGCTGTTTTGTGGGTCTGGAATGGAGAAAAATATGAGTTTTTGGTTCAGGTGGGATCTTTAAGGAAGGGGTTTGAAAAGCTGGCTAGAAATTGTTCTTTGAGATGCGCTTTGTTTGGTAGCTGCTTAACTACTTGGTTGTCTAGTAAATAAGTGCTAGGCATCTTAATTTGTGTTTGGTTTGTATCAGATGTAACTTTCTCTGCATCGGATCTTATTTTTAGTTCCTTTTTTGATTATATCTTTTGTAAAGTGCTAGTTAATAGCACTTGTTTCTTTTTTAAACAAAATCAGTAACATGTTAGGCTTGAAATGTATAGCTTTTTGCATATTTAATTTCCTAGAGTATCATTAACCTGGCTGCAACATAGAATTTTATGCTAGCTTATACTTTTAATGTAGTTTTCGATGTTCCTTTCTTTTCTCATGTTACCTGAATAAGTAATCTAACTTCATTATTCTGTAGGAGAGAGATCTTTAGAGGGTGGAACTAAACACTTTCTTTAGGGTTGGCTTGTTTATGAATTTTCATTTAGCTATCAAATTAAGTTATATTGATGGTTAATTTGGTTTTGTAATGGCTTGCACACTTTAGTCGACTTTTACATTTCCATCACTAATCTTTCTTTTGTCCCCATTTTTATTCTTATACTCTCTGCTTTGCTCTTTCCTTCAGTTACAGGTTCAGCGGTTCTGAGGTTGTGTTTCTGGGGAGAGAACAGGAGGTGTTAGCTGCACTGCAAGGCCGTCCCCTCTTTTATGGGCTGCCCATAAACAGTTTCTACTGCAGTCTCAATGAACCTCAGTTATTCAGGGAAGTATGGAGGCTCTTGGGCCATAAAGTCAGTTCCACATACCAAGGCTTGGACTGTTACGTAGGATGGTTTTAAAGCTTTGTGCTTGGGGCAGATATTCAACTCCAGCTCTGTGATTCCTAGCCAGAGTGCTGCCAGATCCTTTTGAAGGCTGCCTTGAGATGTGAGGTGATAAGCAAATAATCCAGGCTCAGGCTAATCACTGCCTGGATGGTTTCCCCACCACCCTTGTGTTAGGAGGTAAGCATTGTAATATATAAACTGGATGCCACTCAATTCACAATTTTATGGATGGGCCCCTTGAGTTCAGTGGAGTTGAGAACCACTTCTCTGTATATTGTCTGCATGGGAGGATGGGTGGGTATAAGTAGTTACATATTCAAGGATACTTTGGAGACTGTGTCCTGGAGTTCTTAATTTCTGAGTGTGTAACGTCAAATTTTCCATTGTTCTTTTAAATGAAAGCAATTTTGTGATGCATCCTGAATATGAAATCGGACTTGAGAAATGCCCAGATGAGCATTGGTGCCTTTAAAAGGTATTAATCTTAAAAGGTACTGATCTAGTGGTGCTCAACCACTAGGCCATGGGGCTGGATAGCCTGTGGGGCTCTCCACAGGTCTGGAAATTTAGCGGTGGCTGAGTGCTAATAGTGGTAATTGCTACAACTTTGGATTAAACCATGGCAGTTAATACTGCCACCTCTTCCCTGCTGCCAAATTTCTGGACCTGTGGGAAGCCCTGCAGGCCATAGGACACAACCCCATGCATGTGGTCTTTAGTTGCTCTTAATTTTTTTTCAATGTTTTATTTTCTAGGTAGATATGCTTTATGTTTTTGGAACACTGTTTAAGGCAAATGTCACTGTTCTGTATTACTTAACAAGTTTGTCAGTTTATGCCAAAACTAATTGCAGTGAAGAATAACTTTCATGCTAGGTTTAGCTATAAATGACTGCTCCTCATGTATTGTAGTGCAAAAAAGCCCCAAGATTTTAAAATACATCTTTTATACTTTATTCAAAAAAGTGAAAAACATTGTTTAGACTTGTTTGGAAAATGTTCTTTCTCTTGTAGAAATTTCAGCTCAAGCATTTTTGGAAAAGGTAAACCATTGAGAAGGAGAGGAGATATTTATTATGCTCTAATGTTAGTATCAAGCTTGCTATATAACATTGAATTAAAGGTGGAATTGCAGAGAGAATAAACATTGAACAGGAAAACTTGCAGTTTTAGGAAGGATATAACTTGCATACTTGTACTAGAATCAAAAGGAAAGCTATTATTTTTAAATTTCCCTTTGTACCATGTACGATGGTACCATATTTATGTGAGTAGAAGATGACCCTGATTATAAGAGAACCTCCCAATAATTAGATTCTGCTTATGGAAAACTTATGAATTTGTTATAATTTTCCCAGTATAGAATCTAATTATTGGAGGTTTGCCTTGAATTTGTCCCCTTCCCACTGCTACAGTAGGGAAAATAAATCTCAGGGGGCAGGTAGACCCTTTGCTCTCTGCTTCCCCCCAACTTCCCCTTTTCTTTACTGTCAGACCCTGAGCACAAAGAAGTGAGGAGCAAATTTGAAAACAATAAACATGAAATGAAATGTGGCTAAAGTAATTTGCATATAGTACCCATGCACTTAGTTCATTCAGAATTGATGTACGTTACCTTTTTTTTAAACTGCTGTGAGTTTTAGCACAGGTACTCCATAAACACACTTTTGAGCAGTGCTTTGGCCCCTACTTTTATATGTAGTACAAACTGCATGATATTATTCCAAAGCCAAAAGACTCATGATTTACTACAGAGTTCATTGGGCTGGGCCCCAGCAGAGAACAGCATTTCAAGCCATTGTGACCCCATAGCTCAGCACTGTACAGTACTTTAGATAGATAGCTTTCCACCCCCTCAAGAAAGCTGCAGCTCAGCTGTGGGAGTGAAGAGGAAGTAAAAATGTATGCAGGTAGTGGCTCACCATGATTTAAAAAGAGTTGGCAGTGAGGGGGACTGTGCTTAATGGGCTGCACTAACCTATTCTTGTGGTAGGTTCCTATCAGCATGTTTGCCTAGTGTGAGCCATGTGTTTCATAGTGATACTTAGTATTGGCTGCATTTAATCAACTTCATACTTGGTTTCCATTGCTGAGCGCATGCTGCTTTTGGCAGCAGTTTAATAATAGTGGATTTACTGAGATTTCCTTCTATGCGGTTCTAAAACAAAGGGCTTCCCCTCCCCCCCCATGCCAAATGGAGGGGAAAAACTTCTTCGTGTATATGAGTAATTATGGTAGTTAACGTAAATTCAGGTCTGCTGTCTAAGTGTTTGATGGTATGTAGTTTGCTCCAGGGTCTTACCTGCTCCTGGAAAATAAGGACTTGCAACTTTCTGTCAGGTATCAGCAGTAAGGAACTAGAGTATAAATTCGAATTGGATACTTTTTATCTTTTTTTTTTTTTTTTTAATTTAATTTTACCCTGCCATAGTTGATCCCCTGGTGTAAATACCGGAGTCATCTCTGTTGCCAGTTGTAGTTGCAATAGTGGAGAATGAATCTGGCTTTCCTAGGATGCAGACTTCTAGGTGCTAGAACACAGTAGTGAGTTACCAGTTTACAGTGGAGTTGCTGATGTTTATTTGCAAATTTGTTTTTTGTTCCCTGGAAGTCTGACATTGAGCTTTGTCAAATGTGGAGTGCGTACCAAATTTTCTTTCATACCACAGCCTCCCAAATAAGACATGCACCCTGTTTTGTGAAGGTAAAATGAAGACACCCCCCCCCCCCCCCCCAAATCCAGGGTTGTGGCTGAATTCTTGATGCATGAAACAGCATCGCTTGCTCTCCGCTTCCTCTTCAGCCAAATCTAGCAGTTTAATTCTGTCTCTGCTACTGAATTGGCAGCAGGTTTGGACTGAGCATACTCCAACCCTCCATCATTAAGCCGAAGGAACACAGCCCCATGTAGCCATTCCAGCATCTCCTCGGTTCCAGTGCAGAAATCAGCTTCCTTGCTTAAAAAGCACCCCCCAGGTTTTTTTTCATGGCTGGTTTTTGGGGGAAAGAGGTGTGCAATATGTGAATATGGCATAAGCTTGGTTTCTCAAACATGAGTTGCATGATAGATGCTTGGTTGTCTGTTTCTAGGATGCCCATTTTTGCAATAGTTGCTTGTAGGATTTTGGAAAGGATCGGTGCCCATATGTGTTGGGCAGGTTTACTTGTTGGATGTAGCAGAATTGTCATTAAATGGCAAAGTGAATAGCAATAATTGTACCTTAGTAATGTTGCAAGGGACATACAAGTAAGATCACTTAAGCTGTGTGGAAATACTCCATGCCAAAATAATTTATTTGCATACTTAATGAGCCTAGTTTTGTTTTTAATTGTGATTTTTTTTTTTTCTTTGAAACTAGATAGGCCAGAAACATTTTATGGCTTTACACTAGTGAGTCTCAAACAGGGAGCTGTGGAAGTCTGGAGTGCCTTGAGATACTTTCAAAGGTGCTACGGGATGTCACTCAGTATTTGTACCATTAAATGTGCAAGCATAATTCACAAGACAAACCTAGAGATTTCGAATAGGAATCCGCGATGTCAAAAATATGCTGACCTGTTGTTATCTTAGAGTTGTTTGCAATAGAAAATTTACTTTATCTTTCCAAAATAAAAAAAGAATGAGTGACAATTAAAAGCTAATAATTATGGAAGCGTGCCTTGAGTCTAACAAGGACTGTTGTGAGCTGAACAAGGGGTTCCTGGAGTCTAAAAAGGCTCAGGACCACTGCCTTAGTGCAGTGCTTCCCAAAAGACCAGAAGGCCTGACCCACAGAATACAAGTATACAAAAAGTTAACTTTCTAAAATAACTTCCCATTTATAAAATATTTCTTCAATTTTGGACAATTTATTTTTCTAGTGAAAATTTACCAACATCTGCTAACAGATGAAAACCTGAATTCCAGCATATCAGTGCTGTAATTAGAACATGCCATTTGTATACACATAAAATCACTTCTTTCCAAACAAACAGTTGAAATCAGATTTTTTTTTGTTTAAATTTTTCTTTTAAAAATAAACATATGAACCTAACAAAATATTTTGAGACCTAAACTTACTATAAATCAGTAGTTGAAATATAATACAAGCAATCAAACAGTAAGCGCTTGGTGCCAAGGGGCTTTTTTACATGTGTAGACGCCACAGCGCCGGGCACTTTGAAGAGCACCCGGCGCTGCAAAGCATAGAGTTGTAGAAGTGGTGAAATGTGCATCAGCACACAGAAAATGGCGGTGTGCTTTTGAACTAACACACCTCAGCAGTGCTTTAGTTCAAAAGTGCACCGCCTCCATTTTTTTGCGCGCTGACGTGCGTTTCTCCGCTTCTACAACTGCATGCGGTGCAGCAATGTGCATGTCAACTTGCGTGCGGAGCAGGCGCGATTAAACAATCAATTGAGTCATATCGCGTACGGAGCAGAATCGATTAATCGAGTCTGCTCCGAAGCGGCGGAGCTCCAGTGCGTCGCGGGACAAAGGTATGTGTATAAATGCCCGAAGTGTCTTTTTTTTTTTTTTTTTTTTTTTAAACCTGATTACTAAATTAGTGGAAATCATTGGCTAAACATCTCAGAACAGAGTATTTTTGATATGTTATACCACTACTTAATAGTGGTAGCCTCTCTTGCAAGTGCAGAAAGCCTTTGCTTCAGTTTGTTCAGTTCACTTAGTTTTGTCACTTGTTTGTTCAAAGTTGAGAAACCAGTTGAGTCTAAAAGGTAGAAAAGCATGTTTTCTTATTTTCAACTGATAAAATGGAAGTGCAAAAGCATGACATCCACTGGTTCTAAAATTTTGAAGGATGTGTGATTAAAATTGGTTTAGTTCATTAACTTCATATAATTCTCTCTATTAAAAATAATGATCAAGGCAAAATATAGTATAGCTTTTTCTTATTGTATTCAGTGTACTCAAGTTGGTTCTATTTGACTAATAACTAAAAAAATCAAGTTTATTGAATTGAATCTCAATTTCAATTCAAATGCAGCTTGACACAAATAAGTCAATATAATCTAATAAACAAGAAATGTATCAGTTATGTAACACAACAAAAATGTGGAAATTAAGAATTTGAAAAAGTGTATGTTAAATAAGATAATTGCTCAGATGTGTAAAGTTATAACATACCTTGCTTGTTATCAGCGAAGAAATATCAGAATTACTGTGAAGCTCATGTTTTAGCCAAGCACGAATCTGTCTTTTGGAAAATAGCTAAAATACAAATGCCGAACAAGAATAAAATTTGGTTGTTAAATCACAGATTTCAGTTGCGGTTTTAATCCTCCTAATCTGCAATTGGTTTGAATCTCCTTTATACGAGGTATTACAAATCAGTGTTGCTGAACTTTTTTTTTTTTTTTCCCCCAAATCAAAACCTGTTCGTGCAAGGTAATTTGTCTACCCAGATCTTTTTTGTATATATGACACTTCCCTGTTGAGAATTATAAAAACTTTTTGTATAAAAGTGTCTCTAAAAAGATCAAACATGATGTCAAGGTATAAGTGCCAGGACAATGAGGGCCTCAAATTGGTTTTGATGTGCTTTAGATCATTTTCCCCTGTACTTTGATTAAAAACAAATTTCACTTCCAAGCTATGATCTCTTCATGCCTTATTACACTGTTCTAAAGTAGGTGTATTTTTCCCCCTAGGTTTGCCCAAGACACAACACACCTGACACTTTCTTTGATCATCTTTTGTTCGCTGGCCTGAAAAGTGTAACTCCAAAAAAGATTCAAGACATTGTTCTGAAAGAAAAGGCTGTGACACATGGACAATATGTCTATTACTAACACACCAACAAGTAATGATGCTTGTCTGAGCATTGTTCACAGCTTGATGTGCCATCGACAAGGTGGAGAGAGTGAAACTTTTGCAAAACGAGCAATTGAAAGTTTAGTTAAAAAGCTAAAGGAGAAAAAAGATGAATTGGATTCTTTGATTACAGCTATAACTACAAATGGAGCTCATCCTAGTAAATGTGTTACAATACAGAGAACATTGGATGGAAGGCTTCAGGTTAGTCCAAATGCAAAACCTGATGGTTTTTTCTCTCCTAATGCTTGTAGAGTGGGAGTACAAACAAGTGGAACTGGGTTTAGGGTATACTGAAGAGTAGGAGTAGTGGCTCCTCAGCATAAGTTTGACCTGTAAATCCATATGCAGGCAGTTTGGAGCTCTGGGGCTTGCTCCATTAGTTCCTGTAATGGAACTAATGGAGTTTGTAGGATTGGTAGGTTTTGGGCAATGGGAAGATCTAGTGGTAGTGTGATAAATTTATACCACTAGGGGCACAGGCTAGTGGGCTTAGCATATTTCTTCATAAGGTATTTTTGTTACTTTTGCAGAAAGGCTTAAGCTGCATCTGTACTATGGCCTGCTTGCTTAGGTTTGACAGGGTCATGAAGAGGTAGAATCCCTCTTTGATCATTGATATGGCAGTGCTAGCAGAAACCATGTTGTTGTTAGCATAGTGTTGGGGTTGGTTTTCCTATACCAATGTGAAGCTCATTTTTGCTAGTATAGCTGAGTCCACCTTAAGAGCACATCACTCAGCATGGTATAACATGCTGGTGTTTATTTCCCTACTGGTAAAGCCCATATACTAATGATGCAGATTATTTCCACAGAGTTTATACGTGCCATCTTCCTCCTTCCCAAAGCCACAGGTCCCGCAGTGTTCAGGCTAGGGAGGATGGAACATGGCTTGCCCTGTAGCATCTATTTTATTTTGTACAAAGGCTTCAGTTTCTCAAGCATATGGTAAATGGCTTGGCTGCATGCCACATGTTGCATATAAGAACAGTTTTCACATCTGCTAAGATGTTTTCCATTAATTTTTAATCTGGGGATCGAATTCTACTGTTTTCCCCGTAATTTTTATTTACAAGCATGTGGAAATCTAAATTTTTCTATTTTATCAGACCACTTTTGTTGTGGCTGACGGCTTATTTCCAGTGTCGTCTTTTGCAGCTTGTTGTGATTATTCTCAGGATAAAATACATTAATTTCAGTTCCCATGGGGTTTCTTTTTGGAATATTTATTTCTATTGGATGCAGATTTATTTATTTATTTATTTATTTATTTTTATTTTTTTGGAGAAGAAATGTATTCCTACAATTTTTTTTCCCTTAAATTTTGAGGATAGGGGAAAGTCTCTTCTGGGACTGGTATCTGCTCAGTTTTGGTCAACTTTATTCCCCATTCACGAAAGCAAAATCTTCCTTTTACTTTCTCAGTGGAGTTTTGTATCTTTAACTTTTTCTAGGTGGCTGGTCGTAAAGGGTTCCCTCATGTGATCTATGCTCGTCTTTGGAGGTGGCCTGATCTTCACAAAAATGAACTCAAGCATGTTAAATATTGTCAGTATGCTTTTGACTTAAAATGTGACAGTGTCTGTGTGAATCCTTACCATTATGAGCGTGTGGTGTCCCCGGGCATCGGTAAGTAGGCTGTTGATTAAAGTGGAACACTGGAAGTGAAGTAAAAATACATTTTACTTTGTTCTAGGAAATATAGGTCTGAAAGAATACATGAGTTTTTAATGTTGAAGATAGTGTGCTTTGGAATTTTTTTTACCCTTTTTCATGTACCTTCTCTAGTGGAAATAGTTACTTAAGTTTAACCTGATAATAAACAGAAGATATAAGGGAAAAAAATTCAGTTTCTTTTAGAAGACATAGGAGTGATTGTATGGCTTGCAAGGAGTGGTGGAGAAGCACAGTATGGGAACTTATAGCCTGCAATGTTTTAGTTTATAGAAATGATTATGAATGCATTTGCATTATCATTTAGTAAACTATCACTATTTAAGGATTCTTTTATTTATCATTTTTTAAGACTTTTTTTTTTCCTTTTTAAAAGATCTCTCAGGACTGACACTGCAGAGTTCTGGTAAGTAGTTCATTGCTTATAATTGGTATAGGCTTCCATGTAAGAAGTGAACTGGACTGAACTTTAAAAAGCACAGGCTATTAATACATGTTACAGTGGATTAAAGTAAGATTTGTTGGTTTACTCTGTTTAGGGAAACCTTTCAAAGTACTGCATGGGAGATGCGATGTGTGCATCAAAAACCCAAAGGTTTCAACTTATCTTTTGTTGCCCTCTCAGTTGCTTTTTAAGTTTTCAAAAACTCTCTCATTTGGGTTAAGACCAAGCATGGAAAGCTGTAAGCCACAAATCTGGTGTTTGTAAAACAGTTGGTCGAGTTGCTAACTGTTGCTAAGAGTAAACGATATTCTCCTGTTTTAAACCAGTACTTAAAAGAAAAAAAAACCTGCACAAATAATTCAGACAGTTTTTCTGCAGTGTGTATGTGGCAGCCAGGTGGAATACAAGCAAATTGGTAAATTGTGGGAGAAAAACACTTAAAATTTACAATTAATTAACCAGATAGTTTGTGTACACTTTGGCAGCTGTATAGATTTAGGGAGAGCCCTCCCATAGATGCACTGCACCAAAACTAGACTTTCGTTTTTTCTTTTTTCCTAAAGGAAATAAATGTGGTAGGAGATTTGGACACTGGGGAGGGAGAACTTAAGTATCTAGAAGCTTTTGGGTCTGAATCACTTGAAATCAAATTGCTAACCTTCACACGCTTTAATTCCAACTTTCCATTCAGCCCTGCTCTCTTCTCTAGTCCTGTTCCCATGCAACAGGATTAGAAGAGGTCATTTGAAAAATGAGTTAATCTGTTCAGTACCAGGCCTGAACTATATAGTCCAGAACCTAATAGGTGTAGTGGTGTTCTGCTGTTTCACTATAAGTACACAAATGAAAGTAGAGAACTTAAGACAATTTAGTATACTTTGTGTGTGTTTTTAATTTCTTAAGGAAGCCAATTTAAAACAATTTAATGATGGCTTAATGCCCAATAAGGAATTTCTAAGTTAGTTCTTAGAGTAATAGTAACACACCACATTGCACATGAAAACTGTTCTAGATTGATGTTTATACTGTTAAATACGCAGTGGGCTCTATTTTTTACCTTAAGGTGAATGTTTCCAGTTGGTCATGATGGGAGTTGCACAAAAGTAGCTCAGTGAAACTTGAGGAATAGTTAATATGCTGTAGTGGTGGATTAAGGTTATTATGAGAGAGTTACACCTTGCATATTCTGTTTTAGGTACTTGCAGTGGTAAGATTATAATTTTATTATAAGCTTGGCTGCTCGGCAGTTAGCCTGTTTGCATTTTGCCCCATCCTCCTCCTTGGAAAAGAAAACTAAATGCTTTCTGGATGGGTCTAGCTTTTTGAGTAAATTTGTACTTCAGGAATAGCAAGAGAGTTCCTAATTCTGTGCAGGTCATTCCGTTCCTCTTCTTTAAACTGATACAATACTGGATGACTTGCATATTTGTAATCTGAGGACATTTCCCAAAATACAGTACTGTTCATGTAGACCATGCTTGATTGCTTAAGCAGCTTTAATAGTGTTGTAATTTGTTTGACAGTGATGCTGCTCAGTTTTACTCGTGGTAGCAAAAGTGAATTTATACTCAAGGATTTAAACCTTCATTTCTTCACAGCTCCATCAAGTATGCTGGTGAAAGACGAATATGTTCATGACTTTGAGGGGCAGCCATCGTTATCTTCTGCGGAAGGTCATTCAGTCCAAACCATTCAGCATCCACCAAGTAACAGGGCAGCCACAGAGACGTACAGCACCCCAGCAATGTTAGCTCCTTCTGAGTCTAGTGCTACGAGCACCACTAATTTTCCCAACATTCCTGTGGCTTCCACAAGTAAGATAAGATAACAGCTGTTTTTGGGAGTATTGAAAACTAAATATTTGAAGGGTCCAATGATGTGATGTTACCTAAAGTAGGCCTTGCTTTGGAAACTTCCTCTTATTTTAGTAAAACATGGTTTCAGTCACAGGGTAACCTCACTGTCATAGGTATTAACGTCAGATTTAACTTGGAGTCCGTGACTTTTTTCCATCATACTCTGTGACTCCAAAATCTGCACCTGAATTTTGTAAGGTATAAGAATACTGACATTCTGTTATATTTGGCCTAATCTTATTCTTCAGTTTTGTTGCTGTTTCTAAGTAGGGGTGTGATAAAGATCTAAGTAGAGTGATAAAGATTTTTTTTTGGCCAGTACTAATGGTCGATTATTAACCAGCCTTATTGGCTGATACCGATCCGATTGCTGATATGCAGCCTAACTGCTTGGAGAGCAGTGCCTGGCCAGCTTTCTAATGCAGCTGTTTTGGAACTGTAACATACTTTAGAATTTCGTATAAAAAGGTGTTTTTTTATTCCTATAGTAAAGTCCCAGCTGAGCCTCATTTTACTGACTAAACACATTTTAACTCTAGCAGATTCTTGCCATGATCCCAGTTCACTGGAATATCAGACAAAATTTAAGGTTTTCTGTTTACAGGGCAGTAATATCTTTCCATAAATCTCAAACTTCCCACTTTTTCTCTGTAAAATGCTAAAGATATGGGGCAGTGGGTAGTTTAGGGCTGGGTGAGTGATGGGGGATGTCAGAATTTGTCAGTGCTACGTCTCTGACCTTAAATCTTGCCTATTTTTGCAATGACTAAAATGATAATTGATGAATAAAGTAGCCTATTTTAAGTTAAGAGCTGAAAAGACAGGTATTACCTAAAATTCAGTGTTCATTGAACTTGACCTGTGTTGACAGTTTTAGTTTCTGTGGGAGTTTTGAAGTGGTGATTTTTGGGAATTCCTTGAATAAATGAGTCTGGTTCCCTGCATCTGCATGCAGTAGCTCAGGAAGCTCCTTCCAGTTCTGTGTTGAAGGGGTGAAATGCTTTCATCTCTAGAGATGGCCCTTTTAGGTCAGAATTAAGGGCTATTGGCAGAGCAGTATGGGAAAGCTTATACTGCGGGTGCGTATATTGCAGAAACTAACCTTTAGCCACATACATTTACTTTCTGGTACTGTTAGGCCATTCAAATTGCATGGAAAATTTCTTGAAAATAAGCAAGTGGTTGGAGGTAAAAGCAGGTGAGGGTGTGTGTGTGGGGGAGGGCGGGGGGGGGGTATAGGGTGTGATGCAGTAAAGAAATATCCTAAACAAGAGATGAGTAAACAAAGATCTTGTTTCCCCGTTGGAGAGTATCTTGCTTTAAGCTATCAGCTAATTTTATAAATAAAAGTACACCTATTTGCTTTCTCATTTTCTCTTGTAATATAATGTATCCTAAACTTGTAGCAGTTACACTGTAATAGCTTGAATAATTGTGAATGTGCATTTTCCTTCCCAAACATGCTTTTTTTTAAAGCTAGAAAAGTAGAACATTTATAATGGATAGTATGTTGTTTTTTGTTTGTTTGTTTTTTTTTTTTTCCACCAGGTCAACCTACCAGTATATTGACAGGTAGCCATAGTGATGGACTCCTGCAGATCGCGTCAGGACCTCAGCCAGGAGCACAGCAGAATGGGTTTGCAGCTCAGCCAGCTACTTACCATCACAGTGAGTTTCCACGTATATGTGCCGCCTTTTTGAAAACCTGTTTCCAAAGGTTCAGGAGACGCATAAAATTAGAAATGAGATGGGGGGCCGGAAAACTCCTTTAAAGCAAACTAGTCATTTCTTCTTTTAGATAGTACTACAACTTGGACTGGAAGCCGAACAGCAGCCTACACACCTACTATACCTCACCATCAGAATGGACATCTTCAGCATCACCAACCTATGCATTACTGTAAGTATCTCTGGATTTTCTAATTTGTATTCTTTCTATATTCTGTTTCTAGTCTAATTTCTATTCTGTCTGTTGATAACTTAGAATAATAGTGGAGTCTCTTGGTTTACTCTCAGAACTGAAATTATTTTATAATATTACAATTCATGTGTTTAACTTATTCTGAAAATTAAAGAACAATTCTTCATGAGCCTTCTACTGCATTAAAGTAGTCAAAAGCAGATTAAAAGCTTAAATATATCTATATGGCACTGTACAGTAACTTAAAGAACCTGTCAGTATTTCCCTTCTAAACCTCTCTTTATAGGGCATTATAACTTGATTAATGTCTTTCTTTGTGCCAAACAATGCATGGTAAATTCTGAAGTTGCTTGGACTCTACTTCAGAAAGGTCAAGTTTGTGACCTCCGCTTGTTTTCTTTCTCTGAATATTTCTGAAGATTTTATTTCCTTAACTGAAGGTACTTGGATTACGTTAAGAAAAGCTTGTCCTTACCAACTAATTGATTTAACAACTTTTTGTAACTTCTCAGCTGAAGAATATTCCCCTCCCTGTATAGCACAAGAGGATATTTGGCATGAATATCGGGGCTTAGTCCCATCCTAGTTTTGCTTCTGTATTTGTTTTAGACCAGGGTTGTCAAACATAGTCTGTGGGCTAAATACAGACTGCAGAGGTGGGTCATCTGGCTGGCTATCTTCCTCTGAAATATCTTCTTGAGACTTTCAGCACTGCCCAGCGTACTGTAAATCAGTCAGTATTGAGCTAGCCCAAGGCCTCTTATATAACCTCTTCTCTATCTGCTCTGTGTCTTCATACTTCTCTCTTCTCAGCTTCTTTCTTTCTTTTTCTTTTGTTTTGTATTAGATCTTCTTGATGAGAGCCACTTGTTGTTTTGTTAGTCCTCCTGTCTCTGTCCCATTTTCTGTCCCTTGCTAACACAGCTGAAATGAAAAATGGCAGGGTGGGGAGGCTGGCTCCTTCCACTGTACAGACTTTGTGGGGGAGGAAACATGAGGGGCCTGTGCCCCCCAGACCTTTTGCGTTAGGCTGGGTGTTGCAGACTTGGGGCTCCCTGCCCTCCCTCTGAGGCCTCCATAATCCTGTGGGTGGGATCCATTGGACTGGGGAAGCTTGGTGCCACCGCTTCAATCCCTGCATCATCATGGCGAAGCAGCTGGGATGGCGGCATGGCGTTGTGCCCCTCACTGCTGCCAGGCGGGCAGGGGTTACCTCGCCATGGCAGCATAGAGTTCTCAGCGGCAGCAGTGAACTTCTGCGGCTGGTCCCACTCTGCCCTGCCTTGTTGGGTCCCACGCATTGGGCTGTGGGGGCCCTGCAGGGAGGGCAATAGGGTGGGGAGCCCTGAGCCTGCAGTGGGCAGCCCGCATTCTCATGCTGTCCTTTTTCCCCCTCCCTCTCCCCTCTGATGGGCTCTGGTTCTGCCCTGCAACCCCTGGGGTAGGGGGAGTCACGCTCTGATGCAGCAGCTGCTGCCTCCTGCAGGCAGCAGCTGATGATTGGGTGCTGCTGCAGGGAGCATGGGGGTGCAAACCTGGGTCCCTGGTCCTGTAGCCCTGGCAGCTAGTGCCCCTCTCCAGCAGGGCTGGGAGGGCAGGGGGCTGTGCATGGGGAGTGAGGGGCACCAGCAGGGCCCAGGCGACTGTGGGTGGGGAATGAGGGGCAATGGCTTGGGCAGGGCATCAGCATATTGGGGCTGCTCAGCACCACAAAGCAATGAGGGAAGGACAGCTGTCCTGGTGAGCAAAGGGAGCTGGGGAAGCTATGATTTTTCCATTACAAAAACTCAAAATCAAACACCAAAATTTATAGGTATTTAGAATTAATTTTATTATAGTGATTGAGGCACTGGTAGGGTTTCAGTCGGAGAATTTGGGTGGCTTTAAAATCAGAATTTGCGATTTTTAAACAGAGAAAATTAGGATCCCTGAATAAGGAATTGTCACATCTTGTATATTTGTGCTAACTGTAAATCAGAGACTGTGTTTATGACGAGGAAAGCAAACAAGTGCTGTATGCTCCAAGAGAAATGGAGGCTTCTTTATGGAAGCAAATGGAAAGCCCACAGGTTTGATTTGTAAGCCAGCAGTGGCTGTTTCCAAAGAACGTAGTGTTAGGAGATCTTATAAGTTCTTGAAGAAACGGATGTGGAACACTGCAGAGAAGTGGCAAGCGTTTGCAATTATCAGCCTCTCTAAGCACAACAGCCTATAGACTCTATCAAGCCTTCAGTCAGTGCAGATGTAGTTGGGGATCTTCCGGAAGGGCTAGACATTTTTAAATCTGCAGGTCAGGTGGCCTCAACCCAAGGGTGTTGAGGGAGCTGGCAGGGGTCATCGCGGAGCCTTTGGCCTGGCTGTATGAGCATTCGTGGTCATCTGGCCAGGTGCCGGGGGACTGGAAACTGGCTAATGTGGTCCCTATTTTTAAGAAGGGGAGGAAGGAGGACCCAAGTAATTATAGGCCTGTAAGCCTCACCTCGGTGCTCAGGAAGCTCTTGGAGAGGATCATCAAGGAGCATATCTTGGGGGGCCTGCAGGGGAGATCATGCTCAGGGGCAATCAGTATGGCTTCACCAAAGGCAGGTCCTGCCAGACCAACCTGATTGCCTTTTACGACCAAGTAACTAAATCCTTGGATGATGGTGTCGCTGTGGACACAGTCTTTCTAGACTTTAAGAAGGCCTTTGACACTGTCTCTCACCCCATCCTCATCAATAAATTAAGTGACTGCGGCATTGATGCCTGCACAGTTGGATGGGTAAAAAATTGGCTGATGGGGCGCACCCAGAGAGTAGTGGTGGATGGGTGGTACTCAACCTGGCGAGATGTGAGCAGTGGGGTACCCCAGGGCTTGGTCCTCGGGCCCGCACTGTTTAGCATCTTCATCAGCGACTTGGACGAGGGGGTGGAAAGCATGCTGTCTAAGTTTGCTGATGACACTAAGATGTGGGGCGAGGTGGACATGCTTGAAGGGACAGAGAGGCTGCAACTAGATTTAGACAGACTACAAAAGTGGGCAGACGAGAATAGGATGGGGTTCAACGTAGACAAATGCAGGGTGCTGCACCTTGGGAGAAGGAATCCACAGCATACATACAGGCTCTGCTTTTTTATGATTCTGTAATTTTTTGGCAGTTTGTTCATAATCAGCAAAAATATATTTTTGATCTGATTTTCAAGTGTCACTATTTTCTTTTGCCTGGTCCTTACTCTATATTAACCTGTATTTGCAGTACTGGAATTCAAAATTCTTGCTGATGCTCTATGTACTCTATACATATTTTCAGTATTGACTTAGTTTGGTGATTTTGAAAAAACACATTAATGCATGAATTTGGATGCTGATTACAGGGAGGCCAAAGAGAGGCCTGTGTACTTTGGACAGTCTTGTCCATTTACCATTATCGACTTTTTTTTTTTTTTGGTCTTTTGCCATCCTTTTTAGAAGCTATTCTTTTCCCACACTGTCTTGCATAAGACCTCCACGCTTAAATCCCTCATGAAAGCCTATTTCTGCTCTGACATGTTGAAGGAGCCTAGTCAACTTGTACTCATACCTGCTGTTTATCACTGTTAAATTGGCCTGCTGTGCCAGACTAAGCTCTTTCATACAGTCTTTTAAAATGGGAGAAAATTAACTTTTCTACTTGCCAGATGAGTCTTATTCCAGGTAGAAATAACATTCAAACGTGCATTGCCGTGTAAAATAAAGTGCCTGTTTGTTTTTTTTTCTTTCTCTGTCTGTGTGTTAAAGGGCCAGTTCATAATGAACTTGCATTCCAGCCTCCTATATCAAATCATCCTGGTAAGTACCTTCTTCTAAAGAATTTTTCTGGACCTAGTAGAAAACTAGCTTTATGTACTTCAGGTCCTCTTATCTCTTGTGAAAGCCGTGCCAGACATGTTTTCAAACCTACAGGTGCTTTTGAGGAAGTATTTTTATCCCGTGTGCTGTCTGTGGTCCCAATATGAAAGTCCAAATCCAAAAACAACTTTACCCAAGGTGGACCTAAGCTGGATTTTAGGCACCAATCCAAAGCTGCAATTCTGTAACGCTTACTCAGCTGCTACCTAATCTGGGAGGCGCCCTAACGCCTTTCGACTTTGGTATTAAAACCTTCCTCATGTGTAAGCCCCACTGGGATCCCTGAACTAGGCTTCCCTCTGCCTGTGTTGCCTGAAGGGCTTGATCCAGTAGGAGAGCTCTGACAACACCTGTTGCACACCCTGGGGTCATGTTCATACACACGAGTGTGTGGTAACTGTGACTTTGTTATATAATACAACTAAGAGGATGGCACTAGTGTTGCTGCTGTTCCCTCTTCCCATTATCTGATGCCTTGCGGGGGTTGTACCATTTGACCAGGATGTGAGGGGTCAGGATTTGGTTCCTGACTTCGACAAGACATAAACGCACATCTTCCAGGAAACTTCTCTGACTACTAGAATTTGGACTGTTGTGGCATGAAAACCACCTGTCCTGTTGAAACCATCCCACTTTGCATATACCTTCAGTATTTAGTCAGGATAAAGTGAGAACAAAGCAAACAATGATTGTAGCACCTCTGGCAGAAAGAAGTTGTGGGTCTTGCTCTCTGTTCCATGGACTGTTCATGCATAATTCAAAGACTGTATCAGGTAAAATGCATGAACAATACTTGGCAGAAGTTTCCCTCTTCAGGGAATTGATGTGCACAGGACAGTGACATAACTTCAACAGAAGATGTGGAACGTGGCCCTGTCCCGAGGAGTAGCCTCTA